CTCAACAGACCAATTTAAGGCCAGTAATCACAGAGTTGGTGTCAAGTGCAAGACAACTTTATGAAGACTCGTGCGAATTACTTAGAGATAAAGCGCATAATTTAGTAAGTGTCCTGTATGTTGTTAATAATTTATTTTGATACGCCATTAATGATGAAATTTATATGTTATAGAGATTACGGGAAGATTTAGAAAGTAAGTTATCCCTTTCTTTGGCCAGTATGGAACAAGAATTAAAAAAATGTACATTTGATGAAGGAGGCACAGGATTAGTATATTTACAAAACTTGCCCTCAGATGAACAGGTATATATAATGTATAATTTAAAATATTTCTTTGCCTTAATTTTTTATTATGTATTTAAGCTAACGATATGTATTACACATGAAAATTGAATAATGCTACTTTTGTGTAGGGAGATAAAAAGAATAGACATAAAGGTTTATTCTGGATGAAGTTCCGACGTTCAGGAGGTAATTCTGGAATACATGCTGCTCGGGATCAAGTTACTACATGGGGCGTACAAGAAGTGTGTTCCTGGTTGGAGAATCTACAATTGGGTGAATATACAGACAAGTTCGTTTCTCATGATATACGAGGTAGGGAATTGTTATCACTAGCCCGCAGAGATCTCAAAGAACTTGGTATTACAAAAGTAGGACATGTTAAACGAATCTTACAAGCTATCAATGATCTAAATAATTAGGCATACAACACTTATTTAAACATTTCAAAGTATAAAATATACAATCAATAAGTAGTGTATTATAGCAGTTAGTAACTATTTGAAAATAAAAATATATAATAATATTAATTATAATAAATATTAATTTTTTTTTTACAAAATTTATTTAAATAGTAGAAAAATGTTATAAGATACATATAATTAAAACTTTTATGTAATGGCGAAACATAATACAAATACAACATAAATATTCTAATAATACAAGGCACTTAGTGGAATACAGCAGTGTTCTAATAAAATTGTTATCTACACGGTCGTATATAACAAAAAAATGTTACTTGTGCCAAACTGTTAAACTGATTCTGTCAAGAGACAAATGATTATAGGAGAGATATACAAAAATTTGTCTTTTAAAAATACAAGCATGGTATAGGCATGCCTAATAAGATGCATTTTAATACAATTCATATTATAAAGTATTATTGTATATAAGCATATAGCATTGACAATGCATTTATTAAACAAGAGAATTGAACAATATTCATTAATTTAAGTTATATTTGTTCTATCATGTATTGTACAAAAGTTAAAGATTTCAACAATCACGTGTTATTGTAAATTATGTATAAGTTTAGAGATATATATTATATATTACTGTTTGCCGTTTTTTTACACTTGATAAATATTACAATTTGGAAATTCAGAATATTATACTAAGTTTACTTCAAACAGTATTAATATACTTGAAAATTACATTCTAAATTTAGGTATGAAGTAAGTACTGTCAATTATA